GGAGGAGGAGGAGGAGGAGGGATCCTGGCAAGTTCAGTTTGGTACCGAGTGGCTGCGGGGGTCGGATAGGAGATGGATAAGGATGAGATCCACCTGCGCAGGCTGCCGGCCGCAGCGCCCTGGGGACCACGTAAGTCTTGGGCGGCGGGGAAGGTGCAGGGCTGGGGCGCGCCCGGGGGCTGCGCGCCTTCCCGGCTGGGAAACGGGATGGGAAGCGTCGGCCCCCCGCCCCGATAAGGGATTTATTATTAGCGTTTCATCGACTATTTTTAAAAAGCCCGGAATAATCTCCGCGAAGTACCGGTGAAATAAAATAGCTGTCTCCCGTCTTCCCCCCCTCCCCCGACAACGTAAAATAGTGTAAAGTCCTCTTTACCTACATTAAAATAGTACTTAAAAGCTTGTCTAACCCCGGGAAGCCAATCTAATTATGAAAAATTGCTGGAGTGCAAAGTATATGGGGATAAATCCTCGAGCTGATGATTGCTGTTAATTTGCACCGCGCCGCGGAAGACGAGCAAAAAAAAAAAAAAAAGGACTTTCAAAATGAAATGTGTCTGGCTCAGATTGCTAGTAACATTTTTACAGAACTGGCTAAATCATGTATCTCTGTATCATTAACTAATGTGTGCAGCAAAATAAATTATATATATTGGAAGGGGAAAATACATTCCTTGGCTGAGAAGTTACAGAACGTTTAGAGCCAAAGAGCAGATCGTTTAAATGGTAGGGGGTGGGAATTTCCTTGGCTTCCCTCTAGAAATAAATCACAGCTCAGCGTCTGTGTGCATGCATGTGCACCCACATATGCATTTATATAAAGTCTTCACGCGCGCACCCTCTGTGTATATACAACCTTCACGCGCAGGCATTGGAACCCAAATTCTGCAAGCGCTATTTACTGAACGCATTTTTCTACCAGTTCAGAGACAATAAAACTAGAACTGAGATGCTAACCAGGAACGTACTGGAACACGCTTGGTTATCCAGCTGAATTGTATACAAATGAAGTAAATTTAGCATGGCACCATTTATAAATTCCATGCTTTACAATCAAAATTCCAAATCTAACTGTTTGCAGCTAAGAATAGCACGGGGAGCCCTTTTCTTTACTCCCTCTTTTTGGATTCCCACGAAAACCGTTATCCTAGAGTCTACTCATTAAATGGCCAAATATTTCACTGGAGTTCAGCCCATTTCCAAAAGAAATGCTGTACGCTCATCAAACTGTAGGCTAGCCAGAGTGCTCAGAATGAAAAGAAAAGTATTTCTTTAATGTCTGACACAAAACAGCTGGGCTTTATAGCTATATACCGGGGGACAGGGTTTCTGTATGCCACTGATTGTCCCATGTTAACTTATTTATTAAAATAAGAAGGAGCTCGACCTTTTCAAAGCCGAAATGGAAAGTGAGTAAAGCATGGGAAGCTGAAGTGTTACCGCAGTACGTTAACAGAGATATCAGCCAGAGGACTAAATGATAAAATGGCACTAGAAAGCTCTACCATTACTCATGGGGCAGGTGGCAATTTATCATGAGGTAATCACAGTGATAGGGTGGGAGTCCTGAGAAATTCTTTGAGTGGCTCTTTATCTTTGAGAAACTTTACATAATATTTTACAGTGACATTCTCTATTTAATTTACTGAATCATCCATTAGCAGCATGAACACTGTGTACCAGCTTCATTAATGAGTTCAAGGAGCAGTTTTGTTCTCAGAAGCGCGTGTTTGTGTTTCTGTTGATAACCTATCCAAAAGAGCTTGTTTGGAAAAGCTGTTTGTAAGATGAAACTCCTGTCTGATAGCGGATCCATGTATTGCAGTACGAATCCTATCCACTTCTGTGGTAACTTTTGCATTATTGCTGGAGAGACACGTGGAGACCCATCCTTGATGTTTTTACATGGCCTTTATACTCAAAAAACCCTCCTGCAGACAGCTAAGGAGATTGCTCGTTACAAGGAGTTAGGGAAAAGTTGGGGTCAGTGGGAGGATGATAGAAGACAGGAAAACGAAGGGGAGTCTATGCTCCCCTTAGCTCTGGGTAAGTGCTAGCAGTTACCTACATCCAAAGTACTATTTACTTTTCACTAGAAAGGAAAAGAGTGACCTCAGTACATTATTTTTGGCTCTTTCGGTGGCGTGGAAGGACAGGTGTCCTCAGCTACATCTGTGCCCTAAGGACCCAGACATCGCAGCTGATGGCTGCCAGCTTATTTTATGCCGATTCCTTCCTTGTGTTCTGGGGTAACGAGTGCATCTAATGAAGATGGGGCAAGGGTCGGAATTGGGGTGGGCTCTGAGGAAAGGTACTGGCGTGTTGGCTTCTGAAAGGACCGCGGTGATATCCTGTCACTTCAGAGGAAAGCTTAGAGGCACTGGAACAAGTGCTCAGGACCAAGCGCAGGATTAGGAGTCAACTCTTTACCCCCTAGATTTCAGCAATCAAAAATTCTCTGAGCGAACATCTGACCCCTTTGAAAAGCATGAGAGTTTTCTGTCACCGACTTAAATGTCGTTAGACTATCACCCCAGAAAATGAAATGTTTTCCCCTTTTTCTCTGGAAGACATTGTTCAATCTGGAGCTGGGACTTCCAGCAGGGCTCCGGAGGTTTCTCACATGTATTACCCTGCTCCCCATGGTAGCACTGCAGCTATTTCCATTAACAGTGAAAATGATGAAGCATATTAAGCTAATAATTAATCAGAGATGACAAGGGACTAATAACTGTATTGATTTAATTAGGACTTCTTTTCCAGCTCTGTAACTTGCAGTTATGCACATCATTAATTTAATATTTTAATTTGTAGTAATAGCTTATTAACTTCTGTGGATGAGCACATTCGCAGCCGAAGCCGGAGCTCTGACTTTGTGCTGGACCGCAGGCTTGTGCCTCGGTCCGCTGAACAGCTGCGGGAAGCGTGCCTTGTCCTGTACGAGACTGACAGCGAGCAGGGCAGTTTGTCGGTCGCTGAGAGCTCTTACAGAGCATTGAGGTGGTGGGAAATGGGGCGCTGCGGAGTCAGATGTGGTGGATGCGCTGGTAAGGTACGTGTAGCTCTACGGCTACATGCTGCGGTTGTACGGGTATGACATGAAATACGGGGCAAAAGTAGCATGCCAAAACAGAAGGCAGGAGAGTAACCCTGGGAAGTAGCAGTATTTATTGGCATCAGGAAGGGAAAAATGTCCCTTTTGACTTTAATTACAGCCTTTGGATTCTGGCGATTTTGAGAAAAGGAAATGCTTGGGGTCGTGCTGTGGTTGGAAAATAGGGCTCGCTTTAAATTAGGATCACTTTGGGGAAAAGGAAGAAAGGAAGGGACTGTAACAGGCATGGCAAACTTCAGGACTTTACCGTGTGAAAGGCTGACGAATGCTAAGTTTGCTCGTCTCCCCCCTGTTTTAGTGGGGATAGTTAGCACTCGCTGGGGCATGCTTGGCATCTTACGCAGCTGGGTCCTCAGCAAGCCACCCTCTGATACACTCCCGACCAGAGGCTTCTGCAGGAGGCAAAGGAGGGAGAAGCTGCTCTCACTGAGAGCATAGCGCCAAACGTATGGCTGTATCGCACTGTACAGCAAGGTTTGTGACTTCTCGGGAAAGAGGTCCCGTTAGCCTCTGCACAGAGCTCAGTATCCTGCTCTGTGTTACCAAGGTACTTGTAAATCTTTGCACTGTACCGTTGAAGGGCTGAATCCTCTGCTGTATCTTCATTTGCTGCAGAGGGCGGTCAGCACAGGGAGGAGATTTGTGCAAGCCAAAAGCATTGAGCAGGCTTCGGAGGACGGCCTGTCCGAAGTCCTTGGCATTGTCCTTCGGCAAGATGATGGGGAGTTTGAAGTACTTAAGCTCTCAAACATTCATTTCATGTAGAGTTGTTGGGTCACTGTATAGGTAAACCATTAGTCTGATGAGCTCCATGAACAGAAGCCACGACTTCTCTTATTTCTTGCAAGCGTTTTCAGGGATTCTGAAAAAGTACTTCTGTGCACTTCCTCATATTTTATTATACAAGCCAAGTTAGCAATAGTGGCATGAAATAGTTCTGCTTACTTTCAGAGACTACAAAAGCAGTTTATCTTGGGACAACGTGTGCCGGTATGGGAATACTCACCTTCCCGACCTCACCCATGTTTGCTGCCAAATTTGAGATTATGGCAGGACTGGCAGTTCTGTCGTAGGTACCAAACCCTGAGAAGGGTTTTACAAATGATGGATCTTCAGGAGTTGGCAGCCTACGTGCCTTGCTGGGACCCTATCGCGGTGTTGTTTTCAGTGATGCTAAGTCATCTTGTGCCAGCTGTTAGACCTAAGTAATGTAACGGAGTAACATGAGTAACAGCGCACAACTTTTTTCCAGTACTTTGAAGAGCAAAAAGATAGTAAGATAGTGGTGTCTCCATTGTCGCTGCAAGGTAATTTATGGTACATATAGGCCTTTTAGAAACAACCGCAATGGCTGCCTGGATTGGGAGGCTCTGAAGACGCAGGAAGCAAAGCTCCTCATGCTGGGTTGCATTAGTCACCACCGCTGCTTCGTAGGCTAGCCCACATGCCCTCAAGGGAAATAGATTTTTATTTATTTTGTTTAGCCTTTGATTTGTATCCCTCATCCCTCTATTTCTGAAAGTAGTACTACATCCTGGTGGGAGGGCCAGCCCTTCTCCCTGCCCCCTAACCTCCCTGTATCCTTTAGCCTTGATCTGCAGACAGCTGACCCGCGTCCCTGCGTACATCCTCGCTTCTCGTTTGTTCTGTTTCTTTGTGCTGCACTGCGTGTTCTGCCGTTTCAGCTTGCTTTGTTGCTTCCAGTGTCTTGTCCCCAGAGCAGCGTTGCCTCTCCTCTGCGGCTGGCCCGCATGCCAGTGTTTCCTCTCTTCTTCAGACTCCCCCAGTTCACATCTCTGAACCTTCTACTGGCAGTCTGTCCTTCCAGCCAGTATGGAAACTATTTCCAGATTTGAACTGATAAAAAGATAGTAGTAACGCTAGATCTGATACCATTCCTCTTTAGTATCTTTGCCTGCTTACCTTATCTGCATATCTGATTTATTCTTGGCAGCTCTGTATCTGTGCTAGGACCTGGATGTACATTCTTATTCCTATGAGTGGTGTATTAGTAA